AAACAGATGCATCAATGATATATGAGTAACTTTTCAGTGTGGAGTTTTGAAAACTCTAATCCTTAATGAGTGCAGGGAGATCTGTTCCATTTTTGCATTCAATGCCAGTATCTGGCTACCTCTATTTTATTTTGTGATCTAACAAACAGGATCTGAGCATGTTTCATCAGCTCACTAAAGCTACATACATTTTTCCTTCCCCATATTTCTATGTCGTTGCTCCATCACACAAACTTGACTGTCCAGATTGTCCGGCCGCTTCAGCATTTTCTTCAGATGTTATTTACAGCAATTTGCAAATCATGTTCTTTGCTCTGGTATGTGGCAAAAGCTGGTATGCTTCTCAGCCTTATCTGCAGCTACAGGCCAGTCCATAATGCTAGGAGGAACTGATAAATAGCACATGCCCTCCATGTTAGAAAGTATTGCTTTCCAGCTGCAATAAAAAAAAAAAGTCTGTTTCATGTCAGAAATAATCAGGAACAAATTAGAGTCCCAGGGGTCTGTGGCAGATGCAGGGGTCTGTGGTGGACCATTTTAGACCTCTAACTTACAGGGCTCTGAATCACCCTTGTGGGTGTGCATTGTCTCCATAGGAAACTTAGTGGTTTAGGTTCACAAACACAGTCAGTTAAATATCTCAATATACTAAAGCAAATGGTATGAATATCCACTTAGGCTATAACAAGCCAAGCTAGAAGGCAGAAAATATCCTGAAATTGTCTGCTGGATTTTCTGACATCATGATGAAACATCAGAGTTTGGCTTTGTTTTCTCAGTTTCATAGAATCATAGAATGGTTCGGGTTGGAAGGGACCTTGAAGATCATCAAGTTCCAACCCCCCTGCCATGGGCAGGGACACCTTCCACAAGACCAGGTTGCTCAAAGCTCCATCAAGCCTGGCCTTGATCACTTCTAGGGAAGGGGCATCCACTGTTTTTCTGGGCAACCTGTTCCAGTGCCTTGCCACCCTCACAGTAAAGAATTTCTTCTTAATATCTAATGTAAATTGCCCCTCTTTCAGTTTAATACTATTACCCCTCATCATATCACTACACTCCCTGATAAAGAGGCCCTCCCTCATTTGATCTTTCTCAGTCAAGATACATTCAGGTGAGACGACCTTTTGTGAGAATCTTTCTAGGTTGACTGTCCAGAGCCACAAGCCTTTGAGCTGTGAGGAACTTTTACAATATTACTTTGCTTGTTTACGTTCCTGTTGCCTAATTGCCGGGACCTTGTTTCCAGATAAACAGAATTCATGATGGTGGTGCCTGTAGTCTGGGTCCTAGGACAGAGAAGAATTTTCTGCCAACATCCTCCATTAATTCCTCTCATTCAATACTAAAAGAATTAGGTTCCTTACCTTTCTTAGCTTAACTCTCTTAACAGGAAACAACTCTAGCTGATGAGCAATAATATTTCATACTGACAGATTTTTTGCTGCTGCTGACTTATTTTTAGTTTCAGTATCAGCCTACATCCTCATGCTTTATACATGTCCTAATCCAAGAGCTAAATCAGAGCCATCTGACTAGCCTCTTTCAGTCCATGCACACAGCCCTTACGTCTTGCTGTTCTTGTGCCATGAGCACTTGCAGCTCTAACCAGCAGTTTCTTATTACCTTAGAACAAATTTACAATTCATCTCTTTATGAGCAACATATCTAATCAATGCTGAAGGTACAAATGTGAGCAGTCTAGCTAAAGAAGAAAGAAAAAATGCATTGAAAGTACCTGAATAGTCTGGTTACCCAATGGAGAATTTTTATGGCATTGCTTTTCTAGTCAGATGTCTTACTTGCAACTTCAAGACACGGCAACTTCACTACATTCTAGTGAAGGGGAGGGGAAGAGATGAACAAAGTTCAAGAAACCTTATGGGATGTTAAACTCTAGTCTATAACAGTGTTGATCTCTGTTTGGTAGATTCCTCTATCAAGTTAAAATTGCCCATTGGTTCTGCTTGATATTCACCCATCTGTCCATGGTGCTGTCATTGCCACTGTCTGAAAACGCTTGAACTTGCCAAGTCCCATCATCTGTGATTTGTTGCATCCATTCTTCACTAATGCAGAAGGAAGGCCTGCTTTCTGAAACAACCATGAATATAAATTACATTTGAAAATGTGTCATTGTGATAACTTGCTTCAGCAGTTAGGACAGTCTCATGAAAAAATAATTTAAAATATATCCATGAGAACATAGTTCATAGCAACATAAACTTCCTACAATCAGAAAATACTAATGATGGAGGGACTAAATAAATATATGCAATAGAAACATGCTGTCTGTTGAGGCTCTTTTTTATCTGTGAAATGAACATTTGGTTTCATGGAAATGGCCTTTATTAACTAGGCCTTTATTAGCAGAGTGCAAAGGTGAAAAATATGATTTTTTTCTGGGAGCTTTTCTGGAATAACTTCGATAAGCTGGCAGTGTAGGTAATGATAGCTTGCTCTTCATGAACTCTGCTTTCTGTTTCATGGAGAGCACGGCCCCGAAGATGATCCCTTCCACTTCTTCTCCCCACCCACACCACAAAATCTGATTCTATGAGAGAAATATAGCAGCAGAAACACAGTCTGGGAGGTACCATGAAGAGAGTGACCACACTTCTTGGTCTAGGAACTTCACACTCCTCACATGCTTGTGTGATCCAGCATTTAGAGCAGTAGTCCATCCTTTGACACATGAAGATGCTAATTAATCCTGACTTAAGTTACAAAGAGAAGGGGACTGTGGTCTATGCAGAAGCTCTTATTCCATCTTCATTAGTCAAAATGTTTAAATTTCCAATTTTATCCTCACACTTGGCTAAGACTGTTGTTCTAAACTGATAACCTCAATAGAAAATCAAAGTGAGTCTCTTTTCCTTATGCATCACATAGAAAATAATATACCCCTTTTCTGAAAGATGAGAGTTAAAGCCAAGGTGTTGTGTTTTGGGCCAGATTTACCAATAACAAGACAACAGATGCTGTCCCCCACCTCTTGCTCCAAGGAGAGGAAGAAGAGAGATAAAGAGATTTATGAGTTTAGAAAGAACTAAACTACTTTAATGAAATACTAATAATAAAATAAAAGAGGAAATAACAAAATAGACTAACATACAAATATGTACAAAACCGTATCAAGCTCCCAGGGATACGTCACCAGCAGGCACTGGGGAAGTTCCAGACTGGACTCGGTGATGAATAGGAACTGTATTCTAGATCTTGATCCCTAAGAACCCGCAGGTTGGCATCAAAGGTAGATGAACTGACAGGGCCCTCCTCAGACATCAGTCACTAACAAAAAAGAACCACTGGAGAGGAGCCAACGGGACTCCTTTGATCCCTCAGCTTTTATACTGAGCATGGCAGATGGGATGGAATACCCCATTGGTCAGTTTGGGTCATCTGGCCTGTCCACTCCTCCCCACAGGTGCAACCTCCACAGGGTAAACAAACAAGTCAGCTGATCCTGGTTGCTACAGCAACAAATATAAGCAAGTACCTATCTCACTGAACAAAAAGTTGGCTTTCACTGAATTTACTGAGTTTTTAGAGTTGGAAGGGACCATAGAGATCATCTAGTCCAACTCCCACCCCAAGCTTCACCCCAAACCAGGACACAAGATCATAGGTAGCCTCCCATCAGTTTTAGCGACCTTTGAATGATCCAGAGTGTTGAGTAGGTTTTTAAGGCATTAAGAGCACCACTGTCACTTAAAAAGGGGTCTTAAGCCTCCCGCTGTGGGGAATAAATCCTGCTCCATCTCAAAAACAGTCCCTAGGCTCCTGTTCTGCTGCCCTGTGGTTTCGTAGGACACACCAGCAACTGGGAACAGCATATAATAACATTAAGAAATCCATCTGGCCAAGACTTACATAACATTTGGTAGCTACTGCTATTTTGCTCAGAAATGCAATGCATTAGGGAACTATACAGTCTGTAGAAGAAAGTCCCTTGTTAAATACAGTCATCATTTTGTATTATTTAACACAGAAATGCAGAGTATTTACTTTTATGAAGTTTACTTGGTTGGAAAATAGCACTTCATTTGCATACTTAATCTAGCATTTCATTAATCTCTCAGTCTCTCTCGTTGGTGGTTAATCAGCATCACATAAAGTCCAACAGCCTCTTCTCTACAGGGAGTGAGGGTGATGTTCTTAACTCTGCCAGGAGAAAGAGCACGTACTAACACCACGAACCAACAAACCCTCTTGGTCCTTCCATGACAGGCTGCAGCCTGCCTGATCCTCCAGTGCCATTCAGCCAGCAGTGGGATGGCCAGGCTTTTTGGTGTCTCGCCTTCAAAGGCAAGCGCATGAGCTGCTTTCTGCGTTTTCCATTCTTTTGAAGTATGAGTCTTACTCCAGCCCAACTAGAGTACCAGACAGAAATGATCAGAAATGATAACCAGATTCCAGTTCCAAAATTTTCTTCATGTGCAAGCCCAGTAAAGTTATTCATTCATAATTTTTAATTCTGGGAAAGTCTGTGTTCTCTTGACTGTCTATTAAAGTGCAAAAGATATAAACTAGCTTAATAATGAAGAAAATAAGGTTGTAAGAGCAGAATAAAAATATCTTCAGGTCTGAAAGTAGCCAATTTATCAGAATTGAACAGAATTATTGATTATCGCATTTAGATGACAGAATTTAAAGCTTATACAGTCTTACAATTCACCAGATTTTTTATAATTTGAAGGAAAAAAAGAGCCTTATTATAGGGTAAATTCCAGTAACATGAGGCCATCTAGTGCATGTTATCAGTGTTACAACTTCTGTTCCAGGCTTTGTCTTTTCACCTCTGACCCTAGCTCCTGCTCTGTGATTATTTTCTGTAACTTGGGAAATATCTCATTTGTGAATAATGAATACAATAAACTTATTGTCTAGAAAAGTCACTGTGGACAAAAAAAAAAGATTCAATGTTTATTTTAATAACCATGCAGTCTAAGTAGGTAAACAACATATACAGATCAGAATTGTACAAACTTAGAAGAAAAATGAGAACTTAAAATTTAGCTACAAAACTGGAAGACTCAAAGCACTGCCTAGGAAAGCAGAAGCCTTTGAAAAGAAGTATCTGCAAAAATTTCTGGGTAAATGAAAGAAAACACTTCACGAACAAGGAAAGCAGAGTCAATGCCTGCACTGACTTGTGTCCACTAAAATCAGGTGGCATTGTCAGAAGATTTGAACTTTAACCATGGAGACAAATATATAAAGAAGGGCTCATGTGAAACCAATTTGCTACAAAATAGGAATCCTCCTGAGAATCCCGAGAAAGTGCTTTGCAGAGAGGACAGAAGTGTTGATCCCAACACTCTGCAGCAGAGAGAAGCAGCAAAGGATAGAGCTGCGATGAAAAGCCTATTTTGTGCTTTATTCACCATCATCAGAACAGGCAGGATGAATGAAATTATTTAAAAGATTGTGATAAGGCAGTGTACAGCTGTTCTCAGCACTCTTCTCCGTCACGCAGAATTCATTCAGCATGCCCCTGCTTGCTTCATACGTAAGGCACCTCTACTTCTTCTGCAAAGGAAAGGAAAGGAAATAGACATTGCAGATATTAAGCTTAATCTTATGAACTAAAATCTCTCTGAAGTCTTCAGCCAAAAACTTGATAACAGAGAATACACTATAAAAATTTGTAGGAAACAAGAAGGCACTGATCTGTAAACAGTTTTCTTTTAAAAAAACATGTATTTTATCTATAAAAAGCAAGATATTTCTGGTACCACTTTTGAATTCTTGTATGACCTGATTTGGATTCAAGTGCTTTGTTAGCCCTGTGTTGCTCACTGGACTCTTCTCTTTACTGTCCAACTTGTACAGTTTCTGCTGGAATAGGAAGTTGCTCACACAAATATCAAGGTCATTTGTTTAGATCAATTGGACCTTATTGGTGGGAGAAGCAATTAGTCTATAAAAATTACACAGAGAAGTAAGAGTAGAGACCCTGAAGAAATGAGGGCATGTAGGTGGAATGGAGATGATACCAGATAATTTAGCTAATCTCAGATTTTGGCTTATTCAGGAGTAATTGCGTAGTATTGTACTTACAGGACTGCTTTACAGAAAGAACATTTGTTGTTGTATGTTTTCCCATCGGAGCCGCAGAAAGGTTGATAGAGTCTTTCACAGTAAATAGGTCTTCCTCTCTCTAACCTCTTGTATTCACTGCAGTCTACCTACAATTACAATAGATGGATTCAAAGGAAAATGATTTCTCACATTCTCCATTCACCTACAGAAATAATGAATATACTAATTTTTTGGACAAGCTTGTCAGCTGCTCTAAAGCAGCACAGTCAGTGGGGCTTCACCATCTATATTAGCTGAGCCTAAGCCTCAAAAGAGAAACATTCATTCTGACAGAGATGCGTGTGATGCTACCCATGTCAGGTACTGAGCACCTTCAGGGACTTTGCTGTCTGTCTAAATAAGAATACAGTCACTGGAAAGAAATAAACCCCCCCTTTCTATCTACAGAAAAGTTGAGCCTTAATATTTTTTTTTCTATCTGAGTGCAATTGTCAGTAAATTCAGTAAATTCAGGTGAGATTAATTCTCAAAGATGTGAAGGGTTTCGGTCTCCTTATTACACAAGTATCAGCTCTTGATGCTTCTTACACTGACAAATGGATCAAGTAACGTCCTATTTAAAATTAGCATTCAAGAAATCATTGAAAGACCCCCATCTGATAGTGGAACTGTATTCATTACAGACTTATATATGCAAATGGGAGTGTAAACTAATAAAAGAAATGACTGAAAATGCTCCTGTCCTGGCTTTGAAGCTCAATCTTCTCCTGTCAAGTGAATGTTATTCCAAGTATTTGATAAGTAATGAGTTCCTTGTGCAGTGCACATAGTCTGTTTAATGTGCCGTTTGTCATCCTCAAAAGTCTAGGGCTTCCTTTCTGATGATCTAGCCGAAATATGTATTATAAATGTATATATTTAAAACAGAACCCAACCCTGCTGTTCTCTTGTTATGGCCTGATGTTTTCCCTTCATTCCAACTCTTAGTGGACAGGAGTGTTACTGGAATTCATTACAGATTATATGATTGGTTTTATGGCAGCCATTGCCCAGGATCTGCTGGTGGGTGAGATGAGGAAATGTGTGTGGTCAGCCCCTGCAGCAGCCCAGCCCCTGAGCCCCCATGGCTCAGCACAGACTGAGGGGTCTCCACTGGCAAAAGGAGTCATTAGCCAATTGCTCTTTTCAGTATTCTGGGTTTAAATCCAGTGTCTGGAAAGCAGGAGGCAGCACACATAGTCCCAGTTGAAAAAGCGGATCAGAAACCTGACATATCTGACAGGTTTCCACAACATAACCCAGCAGAGGCAGCAGCATGGAAGGGAATCTCTGTAGCTTGTAACATCATTTTAAAACTGGAAAACCATGAACTTGTGAGAGCCAGTTAATATAAAAGCTAGAAACTAGGTGAATTTACCCTAGGTGTATATATATATATATATGTTCTATATATGTGTATGTGTGTGTAACAGCTGGTGAAATGGGGAAAATACTTAATTTGATGCAGAGAGTGGGACAGGCGCTTCCTGGAAGGGTCTGTATGTCTCGGCGTAGTTTTAGACATCAGAAGCTGTACGTATTGTGCTAGTATGGGACCAGATCTGTGTGTGTGTGGGTGTATACTCCCTGCTACTGTCCACTGGACTCCCAAAGGGCTTGTCTCTGCTCATCTGAATCAGGATTTTTATTGCTTGGTCTCACATTTCTTTGAGAGGCTGATCCCAGAATGGGCACTCCAGCATAGCCAGCATGAAATTAAGATTGGTACGTGGTTTCTGATCTGAAATTCACCAAGAAAGCCTTATAGTGTTATCACCCGATAAATATTTTAAAAAATCTCAATGTCTCTGACTTTAAATTTGGCCTTGTCCAATTTGTCGCCCAGACTGCATTACAGGTAAAAACATATGGAAGTTGCCAGGACACTTGTATGGAGACCAAATCTCTGAAACTCAAGAATTGCTCTCTGAAATCTCAATACTTTGGCATAATTTAATTAATGTCTAGCAAGTTGGTTTTTTTCTGACCTCATGTTGTTACAAATTATATATTTTCTATCTAGAAATAAAGGAAAAAATTACTCACCTCATCCTCTTTGGCAGCATCTGCAATATAAACAGAATCAAAAAAGATAAAGTAAAAAACATTGTTAACGAACATTCAGTTTGCACTGGGATAATTTCATTAGTACCAGCCCTTCCAGCAGCACCAAGTCTCTCACCTCCTTGAAAGTAAATACGGACATAGTTTTTCAGTGTTTAATAAGATACAGGTGTCAGGACCTATTAAACAAGTGGACCTTGTTGTATTGTTTACCTTAGAAATCAGTGTCAGCAGCTAGAAAAGCCTTTGTTGTCAGAGGGGATAGAGGCTGTTATTCCCCTTTTCACCACAGAAAGATTGAAGACCCAGGAGTCAATATTATGTTTAATGGCCAGTCTTTTTAGTATGAACTAGTTGTGGAGCATGACTGGGTATTAAATCCCAAATATATTTAAAAAAAAAAAAAGTATGTGGCAGTAGGCAAATCACATGGTCCCTTTAAACTTTGTTTCTTTCTGTCAATAATAAGGATGATATTTTCATTGAAAAATAATACTAAATATATATAGTAATGGTAGTGCAATTTGGATCATAATACCACTTTAAAAAGTGTTTCCCCTTGCTGGTTGATATGGATTCTAAACTGTTTTGTGGAAGGATTGGCTCTTATTTTGTATACACATGGCATCTAATATAATGGAGCCCTGTTCTCAGGTGGAGCTTCAAAAAGCTCCTTCAAAACAATGATAATTATACCTCCCATAAAGTAATCAAGTAGCATTGGCATGTCTCCATTATGGTGACACATTTGTTACTTTCTTTAGGAATGTATTTTGTTCTTCTGTCCTGTAATTGTCGTTCTGTAGCTTCCAAAAGATAAAAGTTATTCGGCAGAGGCTTCTGTACAGAAGGAGCAGGAAGAAAATACATTATGATATAAAAGGCAATACAGCTCTAGCACTTGTCCTTCTGACTAAATGTAGCTTTGTAGCTTTTTTTGATCTCTAAAGCCATCAAGTGTTCCACTGAAACTTCCTTTCATGGAGCTGCTTACATCTTCTCATCAAATAAAGTTGTCCCAGGTAAAGAAAACCGGCATATATAGTGCTCCATGTCAAATTTCAGACTGTGTCACCAGAAGTTTTACTGAGTTTTCATTATTCTGGAACTAGATGAGATTTAACCCACTTCCACAAAAACGTTAAGATGTTATTTTTTTTCTCATAACCTTTTAATATCTACTATGTATTTGAGAGTGAATGCAAAACAGATGTGGCTCAAAAAGTATTGAACCTTAGAGTTTTAATGCAGGCAAGATAAACTAGAAAGTTCAAGGGAAGGATCTGCTGGAATTCTTATGAAAGCAGTATTTATTATTTTTATCTGCAGTTACTGAAATGCCATTTGAAAGAACAGTTGCTATTAAAAGCATGCCATCTCATTGAAATTCACGTTTTTCATAGAAATTTTGATTTTGAGACAATTTTCAAAGCAAACTTTTCACGGCTAGTCAAAATGGAAAATGATTATTTTGTTTTGTAATTCTGGATTTGTTTTAACACGTTCGTTGTTTTGCTTCTTTAACATTCATAATACTATTGAACAGCCACTCTACTAGCAGAGAAGATTTAGACTCTCCTTTTTCAGTTATTCTAAATGTACTTACTTTTCTATATCTTTCTTTTTATATTGCAGTTTTTGTTAATAAAAAATAAATTACCTAGTGAAGGCTCAAGAAATTCCTTCCATCTCCCTATTTTATCATAGAGCAACTTGTGGCTCAAAGTGCTCTCCAGCCTGGCAAACTAACACCATAAAGAGGTTATTCACAGCCATATTATGTGTCCCGTGCATAATCAACTGTCTCTTGCTTGCTCAGTTTGGCAGGAGAAGGATGTTATCAGCTCCAACCTCCCTGTTGAGATGGAAATATAAAAATAACTAGGTAAAACCCTGCTGTTCTCAGGCTTTAGAGGTCACTTTTTAGTTATAATGCAGAATGCAGCACTGATTCACACCACCACCAAGGAGTAGCTTTCATCTACTCAAGTTGGCAACTGTAAAGCTGGTGCAATGCTGTGTGCTAAATAGTGCACAAGCATAAAATTTCCCTTGCTTTCTGCCACCCAAGCCCAGCAGCCATTGCTTACTGTCTCAGTAGACTGAGAAGCTTCCACTGTATGAACGTTAGAACTATAATATAGCAGGAATTAAAAAAGGTCACTTACTTGCTAAGCAAAGAACTGCCAAGGTGAGGAGCACAACAACGCCTGTTATCTTCATGGCAGACATGGGTTCTTGACCTGTTTCACAGCCAATCTGTGCTCTCAGTATTCCAGTACACTTAGCTTAAATGTGTATTTGTGTATCTGTGAGAGCAGAGATATATATATACGCTCACACAAAGAGCAGGCGGCCTGATGATGAAATCCCCTTGTAAAGAAGATAATTAGAAGAAGGTGTTGCCCATGGGTAGTGTCAATAAGAATGTCTTCTGTAAAACATGAAGGTCATACGTACAGGGCAAAGATGAGCGTCACAGCATGGATTGTGTTGATAAAGGAGATGTATTGTACTTTTCTAATCCCCTTGCCTAATTAACTGTTCCATATCCATTAGCGAGTTCAAGGAGTGACTCAGTAAGGTGGTGACTTATTGCTGTTCTGTTATTGCCATATTGACCCTTAGAGCTGAACATAATTCCCACGGAAAAAATTCTTACTGGGTGCATTCCAAAAGATTCATACTGGTAGAGCTGAAATGCTTAATTCCTATTCTCTTGAAATTCTGGAGACCCTTGTCACTACCTGTGGATAGAGGTGATGCTGGTGAGTATGGCCATGCACTGAGCTCTTTCAGACTGCTCTGTGATCGTAGTTGCTGCTTGGAAAAGTCTATGTTTCATGTGGATATCCCCACCTTCACACACGGCCCGGAAGATCCCCCAGTCTTTTCAGCATTCTTCTACCTTTAAAGTTTGACCAGTTCAGAGATCAGATACAATGCTTTGTGGCAGGAGGGGCAAAGATACCGCATTGCACTGCCTAGCAGAGGTGATGAGTTCTCAGCCATCGTGCATCCTCCTGAGTTACTGCCTAGTTTGCTGTCATGGAGGTATGGAGAAGATCCTCTGCCTGCCCATCTTTGTTGCTATTTCCAGCTCAATAGGTGTCATATCACATGGGATTCTTTAAACAAATCCAACACAGCAGTGTGTTAGTGACTTAACCAATAGGCGTAATTTTCTGATATTTGTAATACAGACCAGATGTACAGTCTCAACAGGAAACTCAGATCTGAGTCTTAATTATCATAAAGTTCAAAGTAATGTGGAGCTTTTAGCCTATAGTTCAGTTTGAACCCACCCTTCCATAATATCCTTGTCTTTAGTGATTTGCAATCACTAAAGTAGTGTAGTAGATCTGCAAATTGTCTCAATATAAAAGATCCCTGTGCACTATTGCAATTTGTAGTATTTCAGTGGTGACCTTGCAAGATAGCCTGGGGCTTTTTCCCCATGCAGGAGTTAGGTATATATATATGTATATGGTGTGTATATATATATACATATGGTATATATATGTGGTAATTTCACTAAGACAGAGGGACTGAAATTCTTACAGAAAAGGTTGTAGTGGGTCAAGCAGACCTTGGTCTTCACTAGCTCATGTGGAAATGAGGGATACGGATCATCTTGTGTCTAAAAAATGTAGGTAATGAATAAATGGTTAATTTCTCATTACATAATGGGACAAAAAAAATATGTGGAATGTCAGTGAATTTTTTGTTCTGGAAAGCTCAAAACTTTTCTGAAGTTCCATGAGCATGTATAAACTCATAGAGAATATTCAGCATATGTTCGTTGGTTGGTGAACAATTACCAACATTAGACAGTAAAAGCAAAACCCAAAACAACCCAGAAGGTACTCCTAGTCTGAATAGCTTTGAGCAAACAGGATTCTTGAAGATATCTTGAAACTGTAAAACTGCAGCTTGACACAACACACAGGTTCCTTGACACTGGTATGAGGAAATCTGTCACTTTGGTTACACTGTCTTGCCTAATATGGTGCCACAGATTGTACTATCTGATGCAACCTCAGTATCCATCCTATCACTCTAGCAGGAGAATATATACATCTCTTTGCAGTTGTCTGAGTTGATGTAGGAGGATTTTCTGAGGACTAATGTAAAAAGGAAAAGAAGACTTTTGAAGGGGGGAGGGAGCTAATGAAGGAAGCGGATTTTTGGATCAGATTTTTCTTAGCATTTGAAGATTATCTTGCTATTGAAAGGATTCCTGATATTTATTCTGTGCTCCATAGCAGGAAAACTTTGGTGTGAATGTTTTCTTTCTGATAATGTTTAGGAGCTTTGATTAGGGGTTTTGAATCAAATTAAGATTATTTTTGAGCAGTGGACTTTAAGCTTTGTAGGGCTTTCCCAGACAACTAAGGTAGGAGGGATACAGTTCTGATGAGATGGAACGTATTGTAGGGTGTGCGAATAACAGCTCACTATGGACAGGGCACAGCAGAGGGTCTGCTGAAGTTCTGAAGATTTTGCGTTTTGAAATATCAGTGCTGTCGTGAGAAGAAAAGTGCCATACGCAGAAAGCAACAGTCTGTTTCACTTTCTGCAGTGAGGTAACACTCATATGCAAAATCTCAAAAGGAAACTTGGTAAAAAGTAATGCCACAAAGCACTTACTGCAACTCCAGTTTAAAAGGCTGCTGAAGTATCTCAGTATCTATATGCCTAGCTTCAAGAATGAGCAGAATTCACATTAGCCAACTAGAGAAAATAGTCACTGTTCATCTGAAAAAATGCTTAATCTGAGGCATCTTTCTGCCCAGACTTGCAGAGGCTTGTTGTTTGCCCTGGTAGTCGTCATACAGAGCTGGTCTGACAACCTGAGACCTGTCATCCTCAGGTAGGCCAAAGGTTCATTAGGTTAGAGTTGTCTTCAAGAGCATTCAGTGGCAGACTGAGAGGACGCTAGAGCTTCTCATGGTGGACAAGTTGACCATAAGTCAATGGTTTGACCCAACAGTGAACAAGTCCAACTCTGTGTAGTGGGCTGTATCAGTAAGAATGCAATTATCAAGTCAAAACAATCGTTGTTTTCCTCTGTTCAGCACTTACGAGGCTGCATCTGTCTTCTGTGTACAGTTCTGGGGTGCCCAGCACAAGACACATACTGAAATACTGGAGCAAATCCAGTGAAGGACCACCAAGATGTTCAGAGCACGTCATGCTAGGAAAGAAGGCAAAGTCTCATTGTTGTCTTCAGCTACTTTATGGGGGCGTACAGAGAAGACAAGAGCCAGGCTCTTCTTGGAGGTGCACAGTGAAAGGAAGAGAGAGAATAATGCAAATTGCAGCAAGAGAAATTCCAATTAGAGGTGAGGAGAACCAGTTTCACAATGAGAGTAGTCAAGCGTTGGAAGAGGTTACCCAGAGAGATTATGGAAATTCCATCCTTGGAGATATTAAAAAAATAGTGTCTTCTAAACTGGCCATGGTCTTGTGGTGGGGTGAGGATATGGGGAACCAGGTGACCTCCAGCGGTCCATTCCAACCTGAACTGATTCTGTGATTCTCATAGGTGGATGTCAACTGTTGCTGGCAGTCAGCTGTTTAGGGACTTTGTGGCATATATGTCCTTATGAGTTAACATTTCTGGATTTGACAAAGCAAACACAGACAATAGAGCAGCACATTGCATTGATTTTAGCTATTCAAAAAAAAAGGTTGTTTCTTGGAAAACAAGTGTTCAGATCTGTTTAGTAATAGCTGCTTCCCTGAGTTGGTGAAGTAAAGCCTAAAACTAATTCTGAAATTTATGGCAAATACTCTGTTTGGATTGAAAAATGATGAGTGAAGTTTTGGCCTCATCAGCAGACTCGTACTGGTTTCCATTGAACTGGGAAGTACTGTTTTAATACATGGATGTTAACTGTGGGACTCTGATAGTTTCCTACTTTTATCATTGTATCTCGTCTTTTCCTGACGTCTTCCCTCTCCAAGTTGTTATTTTGAAGAAGAAATTGGTGAACAAATATTTATACACTTCAATGGGCCCGTTACATCTGATAAAATATTAGTGCATATTTTTCTGAGAGTGAGAACATTTGTCACAATTATTGATATGTTACTTTTATTTTTGGAGCCCTGAATGGAGCACAAATGTGATCCCAAATATGCTGCTGCAACACGTCATTTGTTAAGCGTTTGTTGTGCTTTATTCTGCACAGGAGGATGCTCTCTGGCTGCATTTCAGAAAGCACTGATGCACAGTAACTTGTTCCCTTTCATATGATGGAACGTCTCACATTGAGGACATCAACAGTGCTGAAAAAATGGTGCATGGAACAGCTAAAGAACATATTCTCATGCACCATGTGTACCTGGGAAGAATGTACAAGCCAAGGTGGATATTGATATGGTCACAAGTGGGAATTCAGACCTCTTAGTGATTCCAGTGCGTGTTTATTTGGAACCCAGTACACAGACTCCATCAATTCTATGGTGTGTGGGTGGTTAGGGTTGTCCACCCATGTGCAATTAACAGATCAGACTTTTAAAGTCTTGCTCAATGGTAGATTTGAGAACCAAGTGATGTATTTCTTAAGGCATCAAACTGTGCCAAAATATTTGGGTATTTGCCTGAAGGAAGGTGAGTTTCCCATTTTCCACACCTTAAGAAAGATCAAAGGAGCCTTTCTTTAGAATTGCAGGTATCAAGCTGGGACAAATCCCAGCTGAAGGTCTCAGAGCTTATTTTAGAAAGTAAAAAAACCCACCAACACCATGACTCTGTAGAGGCTGAAGCTGCTCTCTATTATTTTTCTTTGTATCTTCTGATCTCTTAAAGCTAAATGACAAGGCTGTGATACCTACTGTCCTGCAACTAGATTGTGAATCCTTTGAGTTACTTAGTGTCATACCATTGATGTTTCTGAATGACTTCACACATATCTGCAAAACGGGCATTAACAGCTTAGCTTGTAGAAGTGAATGAATTGCACAGTGAGCATTGAATAGGACTTACTTTAAATTGCCTTCTATTTTGTATTTTAAGATGTAATTTCCAGGTGTTTAGCACTTTGAAGTTCTGTCACACTGAAGTCAGTCAAACTGAAACATTTCATGAAAGGTTTCGTGTTTTTTTTTCATGTCTCAGAACAAGGTTAGAGGACATACATAATATTAAAAATATTATGACTTTTATAAAAAAGAAGCTACAACTTATGAAGAAGTTGTAAGAAGAGAAGATGAAGGTCAACATGGAAGGAGGGGTGGATATGAAGCATTTGGACCCGAAACCTAA